GGGGGGGGGATCCAAACTCCTCTTACCTGTTCTGACCAAGTCACCAGCCTTCTCACTTCTGCTCAAGTCTCTTAAATCGTCTTCCTCTCCAGGCCCTCTCTGGTTTCCCACACTGGATACGCAGCGCTTCCAGCAGGATATAGTTACGGATTAGGAAGAGTCCTAGTTAGAAAACAATTTTTCCTAATGTCCAGCCTAAACCTGTCCTGGCACAACTTGAAGCCATTTCCCCTCGTCCTATTGCCCATTACCTGGGAGAAGAGGCCGACCCCCACCTCACTACAGCCTCCTGTCAGGCAGCTGTGGAAGGCAATAAGGTCTCCCCTCAGCCTCCTCTTCTCCAGGCTGAACAACCCCAGCTCCCTCAGCTGCTCCTCATCAGCAGACCCCTCACCAGCTTCATTGCTCTTCTCTGGACACATTCCAGCAGTTCTTCACACAGGCTTTAGTAAGAAAGAGCCTCTGCACAACAAAAGCTCAGACACCTGGGTCTCCCTTGCCTGTAAGTTCAGGAGGAGGCTTGGCCTGAGGGACAGAAGAGTCTCCAGCGATACCTCGGGGCAGCTAAAGGGCTTTCAGGGACACGGCCAGCTCCTTCTGTAAGGACTTGCATCCAGTGATCGATTGAAAGAAGATTAAGGGCTAGGGGGGCAGATATTTGAGCGTGGAGTCTGAATAAAAGAAGAAAATTCCCTTGCAACTGTAAAAGAAAAATACACAGGGCAGGTCTGCACTAGCAAAATAAAACATCTAACCTGTCATTTAAATCTAGTCTATACAAAGGCTTCAAAATATTACAGTAAATCTGACCAGAATTTAAGCCATCGGCAGGACTTGTTCAGCGCTTACACAGAGCGTAGGAAAACTGCTCGGTTAACCACTCAGTGGTTGATTTTTCACTTTTACCAACCATTCTGGTCAATTTGGCTGGGGCCTCAAACCAGTGATACTACCAGGGAGAAGACGACTCAGATTTGGGCTTCTGTTTTCTTTTTTAAAAAAAGAGGCTTTTCCTGTTTTAAAGAAGAAATGGTATTTTATTGATTTTATTTGATCCTGAAAAATCAAAGAATTACAAAGGTTATGTACAAGTATTTCTGGAAGTAAAAATCTGGGATCTGTTGCCAAGGTTTAACATCTGTGTTTGCTGTCTTAACCACTGATACAATAAATACAACTGTATAAAATCTTGCACGTAGGACTGTCCCGTCTTCTGTGTTGAATTGCCTTAACTTTACTTTATGGGTGGAAATAATAAAAGTTAGCTAATTCAACAGCATGGAGGCAAGCTTTCATTCCAGTTCCACCAGCAGATCTCCTTCTCCGACGGTATCACCAGCTTTGCAGTGCACAGCTTTTACCTACAGTACAGAAACAGAAATCATTTCAAATCTGCCTCAACAGCACAGTTCAATAAACGGCTTGGTTGACATAGCTTATATAGTCTCACACCTGCACGCACAGGGTGAACGGCCACTACACAACATATGACCACCATGGGGATTGCAGGCGTGTGTGTATGTTGGAAGGGCCTCGAGAGGCTGCCAGGTCAACCTCCAATGCCCAGAGTCCAGCTGAGGTTTGAGTTATCTCCGAGGATGGAGACTCCACAACCTGTGGGCAGTCGGCTCCAGTGCTTGACCAAATCGTGTCCAACTCTGTCAAGGTATTTAGGCACCTACCACTTGCTGGTTTTCTTACTACTTACATGCGCGAAGATCTGACCATCAGATCGAGATGGAGCTTCTAAAAATGAAAAAGCACCTTTCTTCTACCTGTTTGCACTGCTGTTCATTTACTACCAAATTTTTAAATCTTTCAGATGACAGGCTGACTCTTCAACACTCACGCTTGGAGGTTTCAATGAAATATTCCAGTATCTCTTGCATTACAGATTTTAAGTATAACTGAATTTTGGGACTGCAGTCATAAAGTGGGTTTCCCTCAATCCCCAGACAGTGGAGAGAGATTGAGTCAAATCTGAATTTGGATCCTTTAACAAAACTGAACTTGGCAAAGGGCTGCCACTGTCAAATAAATGCAGCTACATCTGTAGGTGAATTATATACTCACGTGCAGGTCCCTGAATTTTAAAACACAAACATCTTACACTATTCCCTCGTTTCCTCTGTAAGAGGCGTAACGAGTTTGAATTCCCTTTCGGCACACAGAGCTCCAGAACATACTTGAAGCTGTAGATTAAGAGTTTGCTTGCAAGTATTAACTCAGAGCTCACACCGACATGCCAAATCCTCGATCAAAACCTTGTTCAGAGGTTAGCTCAGTTTAGCCGTCCAAATGTTACCTTGGGCTCCTTCAGGGAACCTGCAGCATACCCGAAATACCAGGCTACGGTGGCTACACTACTGCCCACCTCCGAGCCTGACAGCCTCAAGCCACACGAGCCGCACGCGTGTCTCTGGCTCTGTAGCACCGGCGCG